AGGAACTTGCCTATAGGAAGTGAAGTTACTGTGTAGAATTGGTACCTGCTAGTAGATTCCCCCATGACAATGACAGAGATTTTACCTTTTCAAAAATCCCATGGTAGCCTTGTACTATGGCTTCCACATTCCCTGTTCACTTATTGAGTGCTGTAAGAAGAGAGGAATGGGAGCAAAGGGTGGAGGGAAATGGGATTAAAAATGTAAATATGTGATTACTTTTAATGACCTTATTACTCCCAACATCAAATCTGTTTGTATTGACAAATAAATATGCAAATGTTTATATCAACACTCACTTCATTAAAATAGTAAATGGTTGAAGTTAATATTAGTGCAGCATTGAGATCTTGAGTAGTTTTGATTACATAGCAATAAACTACTGATGAGTATCATTATGCACCAATCATACAAAAATGAGCCACCGAAGGCCATATTTCCAAATTTGGGTTGAGCGAGTACATCCACAAAAAGAGAGAGAAAGACATGCACCCAGTGCCAGCTACTTCCTCTTCTTACATCAAAGCATAGTTTGAAGGCACAAAATGGAAAATTGCAATCTTTGGAAATGCAATTGGACATGCAATTATGTAATTAGTGCCCCAGAGGAAGTGTACACAGGTGTTGTAGACAGAGATTCTTCTTACCCCGCCTATACAACCCCACCTACTTTTATCTTGATTTTTTTAGCCAAAGGATGACTTTTTTAGCTTAAAGACAAGATACTTTAAAAAGACAGCATCTTTATGAGTCAGCAGACATGAGTGTTTGTCTATTCTGACGTAAAGAACTGCATCTAATTAATACTCCAGAAGGAGCAGACCCTGTGGACTGAATTCTTTAGTTCTGCTACCTCCTGGGTTCCTTATTTGCTCGGCACACTGTCCCAAACTAATGGTGGTTTAAAAATATGGGACTTGAAAGATGCACGACTCACAGAAGCACCAGTTTATTTACGCTGTGTGTATGTGTTGTACACATGCGTGTGGAGATCAGAAGTCAATGCTGGGTGTTGATAGGTAAAAGTTGGGAGAGAGCGTGCGTGCGGTGGAGAGCATGAGCGGATGGATGGAGGAGGCACCGAGGCACAGATAGAATTCTCAGTGGGATACAGATTTATTTTGCACAGGGCACCTTTCCCTCGGGGAAGGGAAAGATGTCAGGGAAGGGAAGGGAAAGATGTCAGGGAAGGGCAGGGAAGGGAAAGATGTCAGGGAAAGATGTCGGCCCATGGGCTGTGAGCTGGGACTTTATATATGGGGGCTTTAGGGTGTAGAAGGGAAGTGTTTACTTTTTCTCTCTTAAGATAAGAGAAAAACAGCTTCTAAAATCTCTGGTTAACAGGTAGAATCTGCTTATCTTGTCTTTGGAGATCAGAGGAAAGGCAGGCTGCTTCTCAGCAGAGTTTGTTTCCCTTGACTTCAAAGGTCAAGGTGCTTATCAGCTAAGTTCCCTTTTTCAAGCTCCAAAGTCTGTAGGTCCCTGTTGGGGAGGGGGGAAGCTGCTGCTGTTTGGAACCCTAACAGCTGTCTTCCTCAATCACTCTCTGCCTTATCTTTTGAGACAGGGTCTTGCACTGAAACTGCTGCTCGATAATCTAGAGTGTCTGGCCAGCCAAGTCTGGGAGCTACCTTGTCTCTGCCCAGCCCTTAGTGGTACCATTACAGATGGGCACCCTGTCTCTTTTGAGACAGGGTCTTACTGTGTAGCCCTGGCTGGCCAGAAACTCACTATATAGACCAGACTGGCTTCAAACTCATACAAATCTGCCTGCCTCCATGTCTCCAATGATGGGATTAAAGGCATACCCTAATATACCCAACAGTACACTTGGCTTTTTTATGAGGGTGCTCAGGATTGGGTCCTCATTTTTGTAGCAGGCACTTTACCAACTGAGCCATCTCCCCAGCCCCTAAAGCAGTTTATTTTTAAACATTCCTGCTCCAGCTGAGATTTTTTTTTTTTTTTAGACTTAAAAGTTCTTGCTCATGTCCTAAATCCTAAATATCATGTTTTAAATTTCCAGTCCAGCCTGGACAGAGACATCCTTTGTATTGAAGAAGTGCTGAGTTTTTCCTAGAGAAATGAATTGTAGGGAGGACTTTAGTTTATAACATTGAAGATCTTTTCAGGCACTGGTCAAGCAGAAAATAAGTTTCATTACATATTTACTATGAGGAAGGGCTTTCCAGAAGTATCTGAAATGAACCCAACTTGCAAGAGGGTATATATGGGGGACAGGGAATAGACATCTTAGTACAGTAAAATGCTGTATTGGTTGTGGGATGGTGACAATCCACCTGACCAGAAAAAGGGAGAGAGGGGGCTGCTGTGATGAGAAGGCTGCCCAAACAAGATGGGGTTGACCTTGTACTTAGACTTGGGTGTGGAATAAGTGTGATAGACTAGTGATGAGCAGCAAGGAGATGGGACATTTCTGACTGCAACAGGAAGTGGGAACATGAGTGAAAAGGTCCCGCCATAGACTAGTGAGAAGGTGACCAGAGGCCCAAAGTTTTACAGAGAACAGACTTGCTGGGATCTGTCTTAGAATTAATTTATTTCAAGCAGTCACAAACTTAGGACAAAACTGAAAGAGTATTATAAGGATTAAGTTGCTTACATGACATAGGATGACCCAGACACTTGGAGCGTGTTTCCTATAAGGAACAGCGTTTCCTACATAAACATCACACAAGGTGTGGAGACAAATGTTTCAGAATCACACATCGGGTGTTCTTCAATCTGCAGCTCTTTCCTTTGACTTGTGTGACTTGGGCACACTTGAAGATGACAGGCTAGTACATCTGTAGATGTTCCTCAGTTTGGATTTGTGTAATGACTGCTTGGTTAATAATTCAGCTTTGGCAAGGATATCACAAGCGATAGTGTGCCCTGCTCTGGTATTCTCTCTTGTAACTTGCCACTTGGTCCCGGTAAACTTAGCTGAGTTCAGTAGGCATTGCTAAAATTCCTTAGGAGTCATGTAAACAACATCCACCCTCTCCTCCCTTGGTCCCAAGGACAAACTGAGATATGTTTTCAAAAGAATGCACTCTGGGAAGCCAATGAGTTTATTGGGCTTACTTACAGAACCATGGGTGAGGGTTTATTTACAGGAGTGCGAGTGCCCACCCACCCCACCCCACCCCCGCATCAGGGTGCATCAGAAACTCTTCACCGAAACATAGATGATAGCTTCCCCACAGCTGCAGGAAATCCTGAGAGACCTCTCCCCAGTCTTCCCCAGTCTATATGCTCTAGCCCCTCCCCCAGGTCAAGTGCAATTAGGGATGGATGAATTGCTTATGAGGTGAGGTTGAGGTGTGGCTGGACTCGCAAACAAGCCAGGTGTGTCTCCTGGCTCTCCCTGTCCCTCCTTCCATGCAGGGCCAGGAATAGTCAACAAGCCCAGCTGTGATATCTTAGGCAAGCAGGCACAGCTGAGCTCAGGAAGATGGCATCCGTCTGTTGGAGGACAGTCCTATACAACAGTAGTGTAAAGGGGTGTCCATCAGTTTGGCCCTTGTACACTTTCCATGTTGTCTTTCATCATGCAGAGGAAAGGCAGGTGAAGGGTGGCAAAAATGGAGTGTGATTTACCAGCTGTACCTGCATCTTTACTAGGAGGTGGGGACTGTCATTGGTCCAGTGTGGACTTTGGAGACAGAGCATTGCATGGCAGGGGTCTCCATTTGCTTAACTACCAGGAGTTTGTTTTTATGGCAGCAGGTGCAAAGTGAGGACAAGAGCTGAATTGTTCTGGTCCCAAAGGTTCTGACTGAAGGCAGAATGCAGGGATGATACCAACTACTGTAGACACTCCAGGATTGAGCTATGACAGAAAATGATAGCCCAGAGCAACAGCTAAAAAGGCCAAGAACAAGCCTACACCTCAGATATCTAGTCTGAAGGGAGACCTTGGATCCTACACTAAGGTCGAGAGAAACAGAAGCTCTACAGCAAGAAAGAACTGCTCAGGTACATCTGAAAAAAATCCAATCAGTGTTGGCAGATGTGTGCTAGCAACTGTGTCTCATAGGGTTATTCAGCCTGCTGGGCCCTACCCCTAGGGCATCTGACTCAGATCTCCAGAGCCTGGGTGAACAGTTTGCATTTCTAACAAGTTCCTGAGTTTGGTGGCTCTTGCCTCTAATCAGGGCACTCCCAGAGGCTGAGTTAGGAGTCTAACCTGGGCTACATGGTTCCAAGTTTGCCTGCACTATAGAGCAAGACCCTACCCGCAAAATAAAAGGGAGGCAGGGAGGGAAGAAAAGGAATGTTCCCAGCTGATAGACTTGACTGCTGATCTAGGATCTTAGCTTTGTAAGCCAAAGATTGCAAACTGGTGCTCCAATAACCCTATTGTTTTCCACATGAAGGTTTTGGGGGAGGAAGGGTTTGTATTGGTTTGGTTCGGGTTTGGTTCTGTTAGGTTCTGAGACAGGATCTCCCTGTAGTCCCAGCTACCCTGAAACTCACTAATTAGACCAGGCTGAATTACATTTTACAGAGATCTGCCTGCGCCTGTCTCCAGAGTGCCAGGATTAAGGCGTCGGCCACCCACACCCAGCTCATTGTTTTGGAAACGTAAAAAAATCGGGAAATTTGTACACACACAAATCAAGATTGTTGCAGCACACAAGCTGTTTTATTGCAGCTGGAGGAAGTTGGCACTGGGTCCCAAGTGTCAGGGAGGGCTAGCGAAGTTAGAAGGAAATGCAACCCAGAGACTCCCAGGTGCCCTTAAATTTTGTACTGCATGACCCCAAGGCTGTTGATCTAGCCCCTGGCAGTTCCAGCGGAAGTAAACTCCTGGTCTGTGGCTTTTTGAATGATAGTGGCCTCCCAACATTAAAGCCTCTGTTGTGGTCTGAATGTTTGCGCTCCAATTGGGTTAAGTCCAGATCCTAACCTTCATAGTTGTGGTATTGAAGGGTGGGCCTCTAAGAAGAAATCAGGCCTTCTAAGCTCGGCCCTCCTGATAGGCGGTGTCATTATAAAAGTCTTCCCCTCTTTGTGGACTTCACAGGATATCTACTTTGACCCAGAACATGCCTACCAGACTCTGAACCTGATCTGGGATTTCTTGGCCTTCGGATCAGGTCAGCCATGACTTCCTCTATTTACATATGACTGTTGTCTACAGTACGTTGGTCTAGTAGCCTAACGGGACTAAGATTCCCTGCGAGATTTTCTTCCCGTGTTCTCACTGTCTCTTAATGCTGTTTTAGAAAACATTAGTCCATTTATGTAGAAGGATGTTCTATAATGTTGACACCAACAAAATGAAAGTTGCAGTGATTTTGTGGTTGTTTTTCCTCTTCACTGGAATCTCATTTTGACAGTGTATATATTTCAGCTACATGGCACTGAGGCTCTTGGGGAAATTGAGGTCCTGGGTCCCCTCTACTCCCAACTGTGGTCTCGGGGCCAGGCAACTGCTTTGCCTAGGAGCCTGTCACGAACTCAGAGATAGAAGTACAGGGCAATATGATCAAAATTTATACAACAAGATCCCTGTGTGATTTATTTAAGAAATTAAATCTAGAGAATCAGTAGTCTTAAAAGTATTAGATGTAAAACACCTGAGATCACAGAGGACCCTGGATGCATTGATACGGTGATTAAAGGAAACCATAATAAATCCTGGGAATGTGATTTGCAGGTAATTTTCTGACCCTAAGATCTTGCAAAGTATCAAAATATTTCATGTACCCACATAGGACAGCAGAGATTCACTAGTATTCCTGTAGTCATTTGTTGTTGATGTTTTGGGATTTTTGTTGTTTTTGAGCCAGGGTCTCCTTAGGAGTTAGCTGAGGGCAGACAAGGTCTTGTTAGGAGTTTGCTAAAGGTAGACTGGGCAAAGGTCAGAAGGAGATAACATTCCCACTTAACTGTTGGAATGTGTAAAAACAAGGCCTGACAAGGCTATCCGTCAGACTAGAACATCTGCTTTAGTTATCTCTATCTTGGCCAGAGCCACCTGGACCAAAAGATGAAGTGTGGGAAGAGAGGATCAAAGGAGAGAAAGACCTGGGGACCCTATAAAAGAACCAGCCCTGAAGTCACTTGGTGTTCTACCAGCTCTGAAGACCCCACCTTTCCCCACAGGGTGTGTTTAGCTCTTTATTGTCTGCCTCAATATATGCTTGTTTTCAGCCTTTTCTGAGTCTTTATCCCTGGGCATTGAATTCTTTCTTTGCTTCTGGGAAGGACCTGGACTCTAGGACAATGAGCACAAGGCTCCCTCAGCCCCACAGCTATGTAGCCCTGGCTGGCCTGGAACTCCTGCCTCTTCCTCCTGAGTTCTAGGATTAAAGACATGCACCACCACATCCAGCCCTAATAATGATTGTTACAAGATCGATTTCTTCGCCATGCAGGAGATCAAGAGCAAATGTGAAGGTGATCTCCCCAAACGCTTTAATGGTCTGAGTCCAACTACCACACACAGTATCCTATAGTGAGTTATCAAAAATCAGTGAGAATCACCCAGAGACCTGGTATATATCTACAAAAGCCAAGGTCTTCCCATCTCTAAGCCTGGGCTTCTGTGTGCTTTCTTAGCTTCCCAGGTGATACTGACACACATGTACATGAATGAACCATTGCTGTGTAGTTGGGTTTCTCCAGTTTGGTACTGCCAGCCTTTGGGGCTCAGGCATCCTATATTTTGTGAGCCTGCCGTATGCACTGTAGGATGCAGCTTTCTGGGTCTCTACCCAGAAGATTCTTAAAGTAACTAACATCTTAGTTGTGAGAACCAAAAATGTCTCGAGTGTCTGTGGCAGTGGTAGAGGGCACAATTAGACCATAGGCCTTCGGGCTGAACTATCTGTTAGACATGGGGGTCCTAGGGTAAGCTGGAGCTCAGCTGAAATCTGTACTGGAGCCCTGGGGCCTCTGAACCACATGGCTTTGCTCACCGCACCAAACTCCCTGGGTCCAGCCTGAGAATTAGTAGCTGCAATTATGAATCTCCAGCTATAAAAAATTCTAGTCTATTCTGATCTTGACACATTCCAGCTAACCCAGCTAGATGATTCAAATGTTACTTCGTGGTTTGAGTTCAATTTAGAGGCAATATGTAAGGTTCCAACAGACATTTGTCTTGCGTCAGGGCCTGGATCCATTTGTCACACAACCACCAGACCACTAAATATCTCTTTCAAAAATGAACAGTCTGTTCTCAAGCCAATTTTCAACCTGTGTTTGAAACTTTTATTCCACAAAGATGAAAAACATACATTTTCATTTTGTTTCAAATTAGCGCGGTAAACAGCTGGCTCTCCCTTTCAAGAGGAGGGAGGTCTGGCTCCACTTGTGAGCTCTGCTTCTGATGGTTCACCTATCTTTTATTTACCTAGCAGGTTGACAGGGAATTCTCAGGCAGACAATATATCTCCATTAATAGAGCGGCTTGGGAATGTACTGCTGGGGTTTCAAGCAGACTAGAACAATGACACTGCTGACGTTTGTTGTCAGCTCCATCTCTGTCATCGCAGCTGGGACAACATCCTGTAGATCCACAAAACTTTACAAGTGCTTCCTAGCAAGTGCTCATCTGTGTGTTTTGGAAGGTATAGAAGGTATAGAAGATATACCATCTTCACCAGGTACTGACACAAATTAAAAAAGCTGTTAGAGAGGAAAGCTAATGCCCACAGACAAATCTTTCTACCTAAATCAGACCATGATTAAAAGTGAAAATAAGCTGAGCACGGTGGTGCACAGCACTCGGAAGGCAGAGGCAGGCAGATCTCTGTGAGTTCCAGACTAGCTTGGTCTACATAATGAGACTGTGTCAAAAAAGAAAAAAAATGTAAAAATGAATTTATATAGATTTCTGAGTGTGTCTGGGATTTGTGAGTTCAACCTATCTTTTGTGTTGAACTCAAGGGTGTCTAAGAAGTGTGTTCCCTAAAATGTCAGTATCTTTGTTTTCATGGTAGAGGTGGCTAACAGTGAGCAGTAGGAATATCACATAGGGATAAAAGGGCTTCATGTCAATTAGTGAAAACGACTCTCTGCTTTGATAAAATATTAAAAGAAAAATAGCTAAAAACAAGCTAGAAATTCATGTATTGAGAATTCCTTTGTCTTTTCCATAGCTTTTTACCTAGCATTCCAAAGACTCCCAGAATGAATTGAAGGAATATTTTCTAGCAGTGTTTGCAGAGGCAATGAGACCCAACTTTGTAAGAGAAGAGGAAAGACACCCACCCCTCAATCTATCAGGGGCATCTCCAATTATTCATGGCCCCAATGCTGTCTGGGAAACATTGAAAAATAATTGATCATGTAAGGGGCATGATGGGAGGTAACAACACAATTTATAGCAGAGAGATAAAACCCAGAAGGAAGAATACTCCCCTTATAATGCAATTAATAAAAAAAAAAAAGTAATCCTAAGGTTTGGTTCTAATTAGAATGTTCACTTAGAATCAAGATAAAAGGACCAGAGTTGTTTACTGGGGTTGGAACTTCATGCTGGAACTAGAAAAGGTTACATGCCTTTTCCAAGTAGGATGTTAAAATCTTTATTGTTCAGAAAGTGCCACTTTAACATTGAAGTCAGTTATCTCCCCCTATCTGTAAAACCATCTAACAAGAAGAAATGTGTACATCACTTAATTTTATATTGTGTATGATAGTGTATTAAATATCTAGTATAGCTCCATATGTAGTGACTCCCCCCACCAACGCACACAAAGTAGATTCAAGTCCTTGTTTTTGGTAACTGTGAATAAGATCTTACTGAGGAAAGATGTCATCTACCTTAAGTGAAGTCTTACTAAATGGGCCTTGATTCCAATGATTGGCATGCTTATAAGGAAAGAAAGCGTGTTCATGATGCCACAGAGAAACCCCTGGGAAGGTGGAAGGAAGGAAAGAAGCTATCTGCAGAAACCAAAGAAGGTCCAGATCCAGGTCCAGGTCCAGGTCCAGGTCCAGGCGGGTTTTCCCTGGGGAACCAGATCCTCCCTGCTGACAACTTGGTGTCACACTTCTGAATGTGGAGAGAGCACACACTTTGCTGTTTTTAGCCACCCTGTTTGTGGTGCATTGTTATGGATTTAGGAAACTAATATCACACATTATTTTTTCTTGTCCATGTTGTTTATTCAAAACAAATCTTTAAAGTTTATTTTGTCAGAAAAAAACAAGTGTTTTTTTTAATTTTTTTTTTTGTTTTTTGGTCTTTTTGAGACAGGGTCTCCCTGTATCCCAGCTGTCCTGGAACTCACTATGTAGACCAGGCTGGCCTTGAACTCACAGAGATCTGCCTGCCTCTGCTGGGATTAAAGGTGTGTGCCACCACGCCCGGCTTTCTTTTATTATTTTATGTGTATGTGTGTATTGCCTGCATGTAGGTAAGTACACCTGGGTTGCACAATGCTGGTGGAGGACAGAAGAGGTTTTCAGATCCCCTGGAACTGGAGTTATAGACAGTTGTTAGCTGCCATGTGGGTGCCGGGATTCGAACCTGAGTCTTCTGCAAGAACAGCCAGTGTTAACCGCTGAGCCATCTCTCCAGCCCCCTGAAAAAACTAAATTTTTTAACCAAAGTTAAAAACATTTTAAATACATGATATTGAAGACAAAAGTAGATATTTGGGATGTTGTGGTGGACCTGGGTTCAATTCCCAGCATCCACATGGTGGCTGGTGACCATCTGTTAACTCCAGATCCAAGGTATTCGATGCCCTATCTGACCTCTGTGGGCATTGCACAAGACGGGTACACTTACATACATGCAGCACTCAAACACATAAAGTAAAAATAATAAAAATTTTTTAATAAAAATAAAAAGTAGATAATTTAATTCAATCTTAATGTACATAAGATGCTTTCTTGAATTAAAAAGCAAATAATACATTTTTCCTTTTAAACTTCTCTAAATGCTAGTCTTTTTTGGTCTATGGTAGTATAGCTCAGTAGTACAGCACTTAGCTAGGGTATTTGAGACTGCGGCTTCTATCCCTAGCATGAGGGGGGCTGCTATATGGAAATATGGACACATAGACATAATTTTTATTTTTAAAATAGTCAACAAAGGGGCTGGAGAGATGGCTCAGCGGTTAAGAACACTGGCTGT